GAAAACTTTACCCACCTGGTGAAAGAAATAGACTTATAAGTCCAGGAAGCTCACAGAATCCCAAACAAGAGGAATCCAATGAGGACCACACCAAGACACATCATAATTAAAATGCCAAGGGCAAAAGCTAGAGAGAGAACCTTGAAAGCAGCCAAAGAAAAACAGTTAGTTAGTTACCTACAAGGGAGTATCCATAGGACTGTCAGCTGATTTCTCAACAGAAACTATGCAGGCCAGAAGGGAGTGGCAAGAAATATTACAATAAAAGTGATGAACAGCAAGAACCTACAACCAATAGCTCTACCCAGCAAAGCTATCGTTCAGAATTGAAGGGCAGATAAAGAGCTTCACAGAAAAGAAAAAGCTAAAGGAGTTCATCACCACCAAACGAGGATTACATGAAATGCCAAAGGGTATTCTTTAAGAAGAAGAAAAAGGTAAAGGTAAAAACTATGAACAACAAAAAGACATCAAATACATACCTACCAACAAGCGAATCTAAAAATCTGAAGAACAGAATGGATTGGTGAATATAATAGAATCAGGGACATAAAAAGAGAGTGGACTGACAATTCTCAGGGGGAAAAGGGTCTGAGGGATGCAGGAAGAGATTGGACAAAAATCTTACACCTATGGATGAAGACAGTGGCAGGGGGTGAGGTGGGGAATCAGGTGGGGAGGAGCTATAGGGGGAAAAAAGAGAAACACCTGTAATAATCTGAACAATAAAGATTTATTATATAAAATTAAAAAAGTTTATTAGTTAGTAATTGCTGTATATCAGACAGTAAAGAATTCTTCATCTTCTTGAGCTTGTCACCAGTTTCTGTGACCTGCTATTTCAGTAGTGAATGCTCAACCACTGAGCCACATGGGCTGGGCTCAACAGATATGTTCTTTTTGAGGTTTACACTACTTTCTTGTTTCTTTGTGGCTTTTGGATATTCTGCCTTATAGCATTTTAAAGGTTTGAGGTTGTAAGACATGTGAGCCTCTGGGGTGTCCACTCCAACTCCATTTTAAAGTGGCTCTGTTTATTTATCTTTTACAAGGAGAAGTGTTAATTTAGTGTTATTGATAAAAACAAAAAACACATGTTGTGTCAAGCCCTTCTTCAGTTTTGGACAAAATAGGTGCTGTCTGCCTGTCCATCAGACAGTCCAGTGGGTTGGAATTTAAGTAACCTTGTCATTGGTACAGACCACTCACTGTAAGAAATGGGAGGGAGCCCTAACTGGTTTGGCTCAGTGGATAGAGTGTTGGCCTTCAGACTAAAGGGTCCCAGGTTCTATTCCAGTCAAGGACAAGTACCTTGGTTATGGGTATATCCCTAGTAGGGGGTGTGCAGGAGGCAGCTGTTTCTCTCTCATTGATGTTTCTAACTCTCTAACCTTCTCCCTTCATCTCTGTAAAAAATAAATAAGATATATTTAAAAAAAAAAAAAAAAAGAAAAGAAATAGAGGAAAAAGGGAGGATGTATAAATAAATTGTTTGGGGCCCAATTCAGCCAGGAAGTCTGTTGGGTCTTCCCAAAAATGTGTGTCAAGGAACAACAAATATAAACAAGAGGCTATAAACTACTTTTATGTTTGCATGAGGGGATGGACATAGACCAGAGTTCCATTCCTGAGGTGGGAGGAGAGATTACTGCTTAAGTGGAAGAAAGGAACATGAAAAATTCCCCTTTCTGGGTTATCTGTATTTAGTCAACAAACCAAGGGTGATAGTTGTAATTACTTCCTATCTTTCCCTCCCTCCTTCCTCCACATTTCTCCTTTTTCCTCCCTTTCTTTCCTTCCTTGCTCTCTCCTTGGCTTCTTCCCTTTCTTCCTATTTTATTTATTTATTTTTTAAATCATGAACTGAAAAAAAAAAATGTTCTGACTCAAGGTCTGCAAGAAATAGTTTGGTTAATTATGTTTTCTTCAATTGACCACAGGCAGCTTCCTGGTCAAAACACACTGTCTTCTTGAGCAAACAAAGTGTTGTCAGTGGAGGTGGGTCCTTGCTGCATCACAAGGAAAGCATTCCAGGGGACCCACAGGGAGGATTGTGAATGCAAATTAAAAGGCATTTGCCTGGGTCCCCAATGCCTCATCTCTATCCCTCTGTGGGAAAAGTTCAATCTTACCTTTCTCAGGCCCAGAAATAGGGCCAGGGTCCAGATATTTTGCACCAGGCCAAGGTTTCAGTCCAGTCCAGTCTTTTTCACCATCCGGCTAGCTTAGCCAGTGTTCTGAGCTGCACTTCATTCAGCTCAGGATTGAGTTCTGAGTCCCATAGCCATTGGGGCTGCTGGCAGCTGCTAGTCCTACATGGCTGCTATGGAGAAAACATGCGGACAAATGGGATAAGTGCATTATCGGGTGAGAGTGAGAAGTGGAAAGGCTTCTTTGTTAAGCTGATAATATTACCTCCAGTTTAGGATGGACCAGGTGCTTTTCCAAAATAACCAACTTCCTAAACTTTCCAGGTTTCTGATGGTCCATGCCCTAACCAGTCCACTCTTTCTAGACTGACAGGCTTCTCTAGGCACCATCTTAGCTCCTACTGCACATATGTTCACCTGTCCCACTAGAGGTGAACATATTGTTCTACTAGAGGCCTGATGCACGAAATTCACACACTCGGAGTGGGGGGGTCCCTCAGCATGGCCTGTGGCCTCTCACAGTCTGGGAGCCCTAAGGGGATGTACAGCTGCCATGGAGGTGGGAGAGGCTCTTGCCACTGTGCTGAGCTTGCCAGCTGTGAGCCTAGCTTTCCCTTGTGAGAGCACACTGAACACCAGGGAGGTAGAGCCTGCATTGAACGTCTGCCCCCTGGTGGTCAGTGTGCATCATAGTGACCATTTGTTCTATTCAGTCTATTTGCATATAAGTCTTTTATTATGTAAGATCCCTTCCCCAAGTGATATGTTGAATGACGGGCTTCCCTACGGAGTGTGTGAAGCTATAACTTCCTCAGGAACCAAGAAGGTTCTGCTCCTTAGGTTAATTGTTCTTAATAATGTCTGATTCCATTTGCTCCCTTTCTTTATTAATAACTAGCTACGTATGCTAACAAAAGCACTGTCAAATTGGCTTTCCACTTCAGGTTCAGGCCCTCCTTTCCTCTACACCCACACCCACACCCACACCAACCACTGTCCATTACTGGATCATCCTCTGAACCAGGGCCTCAGTGGTTTTTACAATAAACATTCATAGTGCACTTTTGACCAACATATCAGGAATCAGGTTAGGTTTGGAAAACAAGAATTAATAGTGATCCAGTCTTCAAGGTTATGTTTCACCTTTGACCATAAGCAAGGCCTGGAGTTACGTACAAAGGCAGTATGATTCCACTCCTTACACCTTGGTCCTCATCGCTTCTCTGTCCCTTTGACTACCATTTCCTGTTGTTGTGGGCGACCCACGAATGACAACCACCAGTCAGCCAAATTGGAATTTAGGAAGCCTTTATTACGAACTCGAGTCTGGGCTCACGTCTCAACTGACACAGCAGCGAGCAATGAGAGCCCCGGCCCACTCTAAGCATGCTACTTTTATCCCCGTCTTAGGGATGCCTGGCAGATTATGATTGGATAAAGTTTTAACAAAGAAAGATCAGTCATAAGTTATAGAAAAATTCCACTAGTACAGCAACATTTAAAGTTTATACAACACCTGGGGTGGGGGGTTATTTTCAGGTTAAGCAGTCTCTGTTTGACCTGGTTTGGTCTGTTTGTTCTGCCTTGCAGCTACTGGAAACAGGACTTGCCTGCCTGGGGGTTGAGCCTTGCAACATAACTATTTTATTTATTTATTATTATTTATTATTTTTTTAAAATGACCAACGTTTTTATTTATTTATTTAATTTTTTAAAATAAATTTTTTATTGTTCATATTATTACAAATGTTCCTTCCCCCCTTTCCCCCACCATTGCTCTCCTCCACCAGGTTCCCACCCCACCCTCTGCCCTTTCCCCACTCCCCATTGTCCTCATCCATAGGTGCACAGTTTATGTTCAGTCTCTTCCCACATCCCCTTCTCCCCTTTTCCCCAAGAATCGTCAGTTCACTCCCCTTCCATACCTCTGATTCTATTATATTCAACAGTTAATATTGTTCATCAGATTTTTTTTTAATTTCCTTGGTTTTTAGATTCACTTGTTGATAGTTACGTATTTGTTGTTCATAATTTTTATCTTTATTTACTTTCTCTTCTGAAAGAACCGCTTTCAGCAATTCATATTGTATAATTCTGGTTTGGTGGTGATGAATTCCTTTAACTTTTTTTTTTACTAGTGAAGCTCTTTATCTGACCTTCGATTCTGAGTGATAGCTTTGCTGGATAGATTATCTTTGGCTGTAAGTTCTTACTATTCATCACCTTGAATATTTCTTGCCATTCCTGTCTGGCCTGCATGGTTTCTGTTGAGAAATCAGCTGATAATCATATAGGTGCTCCTTTATAGGTAACTACCTTCTTTGCTCTTGCTGCTTTTAATATTCTCTCATTGTCTTTTGCTCTTGGAATTTTAATTATGATTTGTCTTGGTGTGGTCCTCTTCAGATTCCTTTTGTTTGGAGTTCTGTGCACTTCCTGGACTTGTAATTCTAATTCTTTCACCAGGTGGGGGAAGTTTTCTGTCACTATTTCTTTCAGTATGTTTTCGATATCTTGCTCTCTCTCACCTCTGGGACCCCCCTAATTCTGATGTTGGTTCGCTTGAAGTTGTCCCAGAGGTTTCTTACATTATCTTCAATTTTCTGGATTATCTTGCCTTCTAGCTTCTGTGGAGGAGTGTCTTCTGGCTCTTTATGTTCCAACTCTGACTTGATTCTTGCGATCTTCCATTCTGTTTTTAGGACTCTGTATAATATTTTTTATTTCAGACAATGTATTCTTTATTTCTTGTTGATCCCTTATCATTTCTTGTTGATTCCTTATTAATTCTAGTTGATTTCTTTTCATATCCTCATAGGTCTTATCCATCTTTTCTAGGAAATTCTTGAAAAACTTTATAAGTGTAGATTTGAACTCTATATCCAGTTGCTTTTTGTCCTCCATTTCTTTCGTTTGTGATCTATTTCATTGTCGCATTTTGCAGCTACAGATGGGACGGGGTTTCAGGGTGGAGCCTACAGCCTTGGCTTCCGTCAGCCCCGCCCTATGTGGTTCCTGGGTCTCAGTAATCCCCAGGGTCCTTCAGTACTCCGTTGCAAGCGCCTCTGAGAGAAAGGTACCCTCTATTTTCGCCTGCTACCAAACAATCTAGGCTTTCCTCCAATGAGCCCGGTATTGGGGTTCAGTTCAGTTGGAAGTGGAGTTGGAGGTGGTGTTCAGAGCAGACTGGAGCCCCAGTCTCCTTCCCACTGGGGCAATCCAGAGGCACAGCCAACCGTCCCTTCTCTGCGCGCAATGTGCGCCTCTGGGACCTCCTTTCGCTGCTCCCCCAGGGTTCTGCCTTGCAGCCCAGCTCCCTCTGTGTGAGCCTGGGTCCCCGGGGTCTGGCCTAGAACTGGGGTTCAGAGCAGTCAGTACTGGGGCCCAGCACAGTTGAAGCTTTTATCTCCTTCCTGCTAGGGAACACCAGCCAGGCACTCAGCTGCCCTCCTCTCTGGCTCCGTCCTCTCCGTGTGCCGCGTGTCTCTGTACCTCAGGCTTTTACAGCTCCTCCGCGCTTCCTTCTGGTTTTCTCCTTGCTTCTCGTTGTAGAATTTCCAGTCAGTCGACTTTCCTGTAGTTCTGGGTAATGTCCATTTTATATTTTAGTTGTATTTTATTGAAATTGTTGTGTGCAGCTGCTGCTAGGTGTCTACCTGAGCAGCCATCTTGGATTCTTCCCCAACGTTTTTTCCGCAACAGAACTATTTTATGACTAACAGTTATGCTTAGCTAAAGCATATCATGCTACATTCTTTGTTGTGGGTCTGGTTGCTCGTTCCTTCCCTGGTCTGGAGCCCTGCTTCAACAGGGTCTTGCTGGCCATCTTGATCCCTGCCTCAACCGGGTCTTGCCAGCCACAATACTGTTTTCCTTTCCACACCATTGTCTTAGAACACACTATTAGATTTTCAACTCCTTAGTCTTTTTTTCTGAGGTTTTCAGCTTACCCTCTATCTTCCTCTCTTGTTTGTCTCTTTCTGTAATCAAACACCTAAATCGACTGACTGGAAATCAAACACTTAATATCTGCAATTTTTAAAAATTTATCTTTATTGTTGAAAGTATAACAGATGCCCTCCTTTTCCACCATTAATCTCCTCCACCCAGCCCCCAGCCTCCCCAAGCCTTCACCACATTATTTTCTTAATCCATGAGTTATGCATATAAATTCTTAGGCAAGTTGCTAAACATTATTGTCCTGAATTCTTCTTTAAATTATTTATTTAATTATTTATTTCAGAGAGGAAGGGAGAAGGGAAGAGAGAGAAACATCAATGATAAGAGAAAATCATTGATCAGCTGCCTCCTGCACACCTCCCCACTGTGGATCGAGCAACCGGGCATGTGCACTGACTGGGAATCAAACTGTGATCTCCTGGCTCCTAGGTCAATGCTCAAGGACTGAGTCAGGTCAGGCAGGCCTGAATTCCTCATTTTTAAATAAAGATAATCGTTCCTGCTTTTCCTATGGCCTGGAGTTGTTATAAAAATCATATAAATCTGACTGACTTATATCACTTAGCATGATACTCTTCAGGTAACTCCATGTTGTCTCTCTCTCTTTTTCTTTTTCAAGGCAAACATACTTACTTCTATGTAGAATGGTGTACATACATGTTCTGGAAGTGCATGCACACCAAGCAGGTGGGCCGCTTGGGTTTATAATCCCTTATGCACCTGACCTATCCTTTGCTCTTGATTAGAACTCAAGTGTACCTGTACAGTCTTTCCTTCTTTTTTAAAATCAATTAATTTATTTTTATTTCTTTTAAAAAAATTTCATTGTTCAGATTATTATAGTTGTTCGTCTTTTGTACCCCTCAGAGCTCCCCTCCACCTGGTTCCCACCCCACCCCATGACCTTACACCCCCCTCACTGTTCTCATCTATAGGTGTATGATTTTTGTCCAGTCTCTTACCACACTCCCCACATCCCATTTCCCCCTGAGGATTGTCAGTCCACTCCCTTTTTATGCCCCTGATTTTATTATAGTCAACAGATTATTCTGTTCATTGGATTTTTTATTCACTTGATTTTTAGATTCACTTGTTGATAGATATGTATTTTTGGTTCATAATTTTTATTTTTACCTTTTTCTTCTTCCTCTTCTTAAAGAATATCCTTCAGCATTTCATATAATACTGGGCTGGTGGTGATAAACTCCTTTAGCTTTTTTTTTAAATCTGTGAACCTCTTTATTTGCAATTCAATTCTGAATGATAGCTTTGCTGGGTAGAGTAATCTTGGTTGTAGGTTCTTGCTATTAATCACTTTGAATATTTCTTGCCACCCCCTTCTGGCTTGCATAGTTTCTGTTGAGAAATCAGCTGACAGTCATATGGGTGCTCTCTTGTAGGTAACTACCTGTTTTCTCTTGCTGCTTTTAATATTCTCTCTTTGTCTTTTGCTCTTGGAATTTTAATCATGTTGTGTCTTACTATGGTCCTCTTTGGATTCCTTTTGTTTGGGGTTCTTTGCACTTCCTGAATTTGTAAGTCTATTTTTTTTTTTCACCAGGTAGAGGAAGTTTTCAGTCATTATTTCTTCAAATACATTTTCATTATCTTGCTTTCTCTCTTCTTCTGGCACCCCATTATTCTGATGTTGATATGCTTGAACTTGTCCCAGAGGCTTCTTACACTATCTTCCTACTTTTGGGTTCTTTTTTATTTTTGCTTTCTACTTGGGTGTTTTTTGCTTCTTCGTATTTCAAATCTTTGACTTGATTCTTGAGATCTTCTAGTCTGCTGTTGGATCTCTGTATATTATTCTTTTATTTCAGTCAGTGTATTCTTAATTTCTACTTGATCCTTTTTCATATCATCAAGGGTCTCATTAAATTTATCGACCTTTTCTAGAAAATTATTGAAAAACCTTATAACCTTGATTTTGAACTCTGTATCAAGTAGTTTGCTTTCCTCCATTTCTTTCATTTGTGATTTTTTTTCTCCACATTTTGGCTGCTTCCCTGTGTTGATAGAGTGGCTTTGTGTGTTAGGTGTTCTATAGGGTCCAGTGGCTCAGCCTCCCCAGTTACCTGAAGTGGACACTCTAGGACACATGTGTCAAACACAAGGCCCGCGGGCCAAATTCGTCCCGCCAGGCCTTGCAATGTGGCCCACACCGCGCTGTCATCACTGCACTCCGCTGCGTTTCCATCACAATGACAGTTTATGACTGTTCAGTAAACCATTTGGCCCGCGATTTAGGCTGGATTTTAGATTTTGGCCCCTTCTCTGATTGAGTTTGACACCCCTACTCTAGGACCTCCTAGATTCTAGGTGCACCTCTTTGTGGGCTGTGTGCACAGTCTTGTTGTAGTTAAGTCTTGATTGTTGTTGGTATCACTGGGAGGAATTGACCTCTAGGCCAATTGGCTGTGAGGATCAGCTGTGTCTACGATGGGAGAACTTCTGTGCTGGAGACACATTATGAGGCAAGACTTGCTTCAGTGGGGGTTTGGTGCTCACTGAATCTTCCCTCTGAGTGTGTCCCTTATGGATCTGGGGAATTATAATCTGGATGGTCCTATGCTCACCCCTAGGTACACTGGATATTGGATCTCTAAGGAGGTACTAATTTAGTCTGCCTGAGGCCATCCAGCAGGAGCTACAAAGAGATCTACAGATTCCTTTTGTTTGTTTGGATTTTGGAGGTGCCCAGATGAGGCCCAGCTGTGAAGTAATGCAAGCTGCTGTGGGGCCTTGGCCCATCTTTTGGATGTTCTGGGTCACTCTGACTCAGCTGCAGTTTGATAGGTAAGTTTAGATTTCAAAAGACCAGGCCATTCATATGCAAAAGCCTCTGTGATCAGCTTGGATGGGGTGGAGTCTCAGGGCAGAGCAAACAGCAATGGCTTCCCATCAGCCCTGCCCTAAGAGGCCCTTGGGTCTCAGTGTCCCTTGGTAATGGTTGTAAGGACCTCTGAGAGAAAGTCACCTTCAAGTTATGCCCACTGTCAGACAGTTCAGTTTCTTTTTGTATGAGTCTGGGTCCCCAGAGTCTTGCCAAGAACTGGAGTTCAGAGCAGTCGGGAGCTTGTATCTCCCTCCGGCTTGAAAAAGCCAGCTGCATATTCAGTTGCCAGCCCTCTCCATACGCATGCCTCCATACCTCTGCACTTTACTTCCGCAGCTCCTCTGAGTCTCAGTGTGCTTTTCTCTTTTCTTCTAGTTATAGAATTTCCACTTAGTCACCCTTCCTATGGTTCTAAATGATGTCTGTTTTGTCTTTTAGTTATAGTTTTGAAGTGGTTTTGCAAGGCGGCAAGTTTAGGTGTTTACCTATGCTGCCATCTTGGTTTCTATCTTCCATGCTGCCTCAAAGGGTAAAAGATTCTCCTTTTTTACTGCTGCATAATATTCCATGGTGTAAATAAACCACAACTTTTTCATCCACTCATCCATGATGGATACTTGGGCTGTTTCCAGATCTTAGTTACTGTAAATTGTGCTGCTATGAACATAGAGGTGCATACATTCTTTCTGATTGTTGTTTTGGATTGCTCAGGATATATTCCTAGAAGTGGAATCACTGGTTCAATAGAAGTTTCTTATTTATTTATTTATTTATTTATTTATTTATTTATTTGGAAACACCCTACTCTTTCCACAATGGCTGGACCAGTTTGAATTCCCACCAGCAGTATACTAGGATTCCCTTTTCTCCAAATCCTTGCCAGCACTTGTCATTTGTTGATTTGTTGATGGAAGCCATTCTGACAGGTGTGAATTGATACCGAATTGTAATTTTAATTTGCATCTGGTGATCAGTGACTTTAAGCATTTTTCATATGTCTCTTGGCCATCTGTATGTCTACTTTGGAGAAATGTCTATTTAGGTCCTTTGCCCATTTTAAAATTGGATTGTCTTCCTTTTGTTAAGTTGTAAGAGTTCCTTATGTATTTGTGATATTAAGCCTTTATCAGATTTATCATTACCAGAATTGCCAGATATGTTTTCACATGCAGTGGGCTCCCTTTTCATTTTGTAGGTGGTTTATTTTGCCTTGCAGAGCTTTTTTTTTTTTTTTACGTAATCCCATTTGTTTATTTTCTCTTTAGTTTCATGTGCATCCATAAACATATTACTATAGAAGATGTCTGAGATTTTGCTGCCTATGGCTTCTATGATTTGTATGGTTTCACAATTTACATTTAAGTATTTCATCCATTTTGGGTTTATTCTTGTGTTTGGTGTAAGTTGGGCGTCTAATGTACCTTTTTTGAAAGTATCTGTCCAATTTTCCAAACACCATTTATTGAAGAGACTGGCTTGACTGCATTGTATGCTCTTGCCTCCTTTGTCAAATATTAATTGAACATAATGGTTTGGTTTGATTTCTGGGGTCAGTGTTTTGTTGGTTTATATGTCTGTTCTTGTTTCAGTACCAGGCTGTTTTCAGTACAGTGGCTTTGTAGTATAATTGAGACCTGGTATTGTGATTCCTCAAACTTTGTTCTTCTTTATCAAATTTGCTGTGGCTATTCAGGGTCTTTTAAGCAGCTAGTGATTGTAACTGTACTTTTATTCTCTTCACAGAAAATGCAAAGACTCCAGAAATTTTTACCTCTATTTTTTTTCTCCAACACCAATGGTATCATTTCTTTTATTGTCATATGTATGTTTGAAATTCTGCAGACATTATTACTATTGTTTTATAATGGTTAATATTTATTTAAATGTATATTTAATCTAGAGGCACAGTGCATGAGAACTCATGTACTGAAATGAGTGAGGGGTCCCTCAGTCTGGCCTATCACAGTCTGGGAACCCTCAGGGGTGGGAGGTGATCCAGTGATCAGGGGAAGGCTATATGCCCCATCACACCTCTGCTATTGCCACTGCCAGCAACTCAATCCTCAGCATGCCTTGATTACCTGAGCCTCGGGTGGCCTTGGGTAGTTGAGTAGCTGCCATCCGGGGTTTGCCTACTCACTGGGTAGGCCTTGGGAGGCTACCATATTGCCCAGGGGATTGGGGAACTCTGGAGGCAGGGAACTCTGCGAGCCTGTCACTCCGGTGAGGCTGAGGGGACTGGGTGCCACCATTTTGTGTCTGTGGGCACTGCCATCCTTGAGGGCATGGCAGTCAATTAGCATATTCCTTTTTATTAGCTGTAGGTGCAGCCATCTTTGAGGGAGGGACAGTCAATTAACATATCCCTTTTTATTAGAGAGGAGGATTTTTTTGCTCTTGTTCTTTTCTTACAACTTGTATGTTTCTTTTGCATAAATAATATGCTCTGGAATCTTTTTAAGTCTGTCTCAGTTTTTGTTTGTCTGAATATATCTTAAGGACTATGTGTCCTGGGTATAGAATAATTTTGGATGGGCAGGAGATTTGGGATGTGTTTTCTCAGCATGTTAAATCAGTCTATAATCTCTGGTTCTCATAATTTCTGTTGATTTCTGTATTGTCCTTCTAGCTGTTTCTCCTCTGAGGGTATTTTGTCTTTTTTCTTTGGCTGTTTTTATTTCTTTCATGATCATCGCTTTGGTTGTCTGTAGTTTCACTGGAATGTGAGTAGAGATGGATTTCTTTGTAGTATCCTGCTTGGGGGGTGAGTAGGATTTCTAAAATCTATGAATTGAAATTTTTACATATAAGTTTTAGAATACACATTTTGAATGTTAGATCATTAAATGTTATCCTGCATCATATTATCTCTTGCCTTATATTTTTCTGTTAAATATCTTCTGTCTATTTTAACCATTCTTATCCTTTCTCTTATGCTTTTCATTTTTTTGTCTTTTTAAGCTTTACATTATAATTGTTTTTCTGGAAGAAATTATGGGTAACTCTTTTTGGTCTGACAATTTACTTTTTTATCTTGATAAATTGATAAATTTATCTATTTAGTTTTTCATGTGTTATATTTTTGAGTTCTAGGACTTGTATTTCATTTTTTTTCTTTTAAAAAACATTTTAAAATTAATTTCAGAGAGAAAAGGAGAAAGAGAGCAATAGAAACATCAATGATGAGAGATAATCATTGATTAGCTGCCTTTTGCACACATCAAGTGTGGGTCGAACCCATAACTCAAGCATGTGCCCTGATTGAGAATTGAACAGTGACCACCTTGTTTATAGGTCAACACTCAACCACTGAGCCATACCTGGCTGAGTTCTTTTTTATTTTTATTCAAATATGCAGTATCTTTTAAATTTTTAGTTACATGCTGAAATGCTTAACCTTGGTTTTTATCAACTTGATAAAACAGTGTTTAATGTTTTATAATTTGAGTGTGATTATTCCATTATTTAGAGGCCCTGTATTTGTTTACATTATCTGTTTTTTCATGCAGATTTTTATTCATGTTGTCATGAATAAAATCCCATTTATCTTTTATTATGTGCTAAATAGTGTAGTTTAAAAAGCTGATTATAAAAATAACTAGTGGCCCACTGCACAGATTCATGCACATTTGAAAAGGAAATAATTAGAATAAATATCTTAATATTGGTATTTGCCCTTTATTCCTCAGCACCTGGGAGCCTGCTGGCAGTCCCGCCCCCTGCCACCTCAGCTGGTCGCACCTGCCTTGGCCTGGAGCTGCCCACTCACCATCTCACCATGGTCCTGCTCTTGCTCCCTTTGGGGCCCATCTGGGCAGCAGCCCTTCCACTACTGCCAGCTGCTAGCACCACATGGCCGATGCTCACCATGTTCCATGTTTCTCCTCAGTGGTCAGCACACAGCATAGTGAGCAGTCAAACTCTCGATCTCCTGGTCAAACCACCACCAAAGAGAACAATTTGCATATTAGACTTTCATTATGTACAGTTTTGAGGTTTATGGGTAATCTTTCCCTATGGAATATTTTTTTTTCTTCTACCACATGCCTCCAGATAATAGCAAAATGGAATAGATATACTCCAATTTAAGAGATTGGAATTTGGGGGACTGTCCAAGGACTTACATGAGGGTTACTTTCTAAGCTGCTTTAGTCATACTCCTAGAGTGTAGTTATTATGTTATCAAATGAAAGCACAGGGTCATACTTGACAGGCCAAAATTCTGCCTGCCTGGCCTTGAATATCATAAAAGTCCCTGCTTCATGCCCTTTTACCCTGTTGGATTGGAAATGCCCCTGGAGTAAAAGTGCCCCAGTTTCCATAGTCACCAATTTACCCTGGATTGCTGAGTACTTCTTCATAATCATGGCAGATCCTTTGCCTTTGGGCTCATGCTTGCTTGGTTTGGTTTTCTTGGTTGTGTTAAAAGGTCTGTTACCTAGTTCACCATTGCAGTAAAGAATTAGATGTTCTCCCCATAAATTATTTATTGAATTCTAGTTTCTGCTCTGAAATTTACTAGTTGTTTTAACATTCAATAATTTATTTATAGTCTACAAGCCTGTTCCCTCATATATAAAAAGAAGGATTTGAGCAGAGTTGCACGGGATCAGGCAGTTTAGTTTCTATCTGAATAGTACATTTTACTGTCAACCAATGAATAGATTTCAGCATAAGAGCCCAAAGAGAAGGATTATAGAATGCAGGGACTTGCTTTTCTTATTTGCCCTATATCTAAGAGAACCTTGAATATTGTAGGAGACAGAACTGTAAGTATTTTAAGAAAAAAAGGAAGGAAAGCTTGTCAACAAATTTGATAAAATCTTTTTCTTTCATGGAGCCACTGACTATCATCATGGATGTCAGTAATTGTCAGTCCAAGAACCCCATTAGTCCTGTCTTTTCTGAGTTCAGATAGAAAGAAGCGGACTGAGAAGTGTGGCTAGCAGAATCTTAGGAAACTTTATTAGGAAACTTTATTAGCCAGCCCAACTGCTTTATGAGAGGCAAGAAAATGCAGCATGTGAAGCCCCATTCCAAGGAGTGCATTTGACTAAGTTTATAATGGTCACAGAGCCCCTCCCAATCAAGCATTGCATAAAGCCATCCCATTGCTATCACAGTCTAAACTACCGTATATGATTAAAATCAGGAGCCCTTATCAGAAAACACACAAGAAGCTGGTAACAGTGTGTTCTTTTACCCCCTCTTGCTTAACTACTCTACTACTACACTTCCCTTTTTGTAGTCATGACATATTTTAAGATAAGACACTTCTTCACTCCTTGTGATCCCACACAAACTACAAACCATGTAGATAAAGTAAAATAAGCTCCTTACTAGTTTGAAATCAGAGGGCCTATAATAAAATACTAACCCTGTAGAACAAAGGGTCAGAAACACTGGCCAAGGCAAATTAATCTTCATAATCCAACACTTAATTTGGCTGCTCTCCTATATTTCAATTGATAATGTGTTTTTAAGCCTCCCTTCAACAATGCATGTCTCTCTACCATAGTTTCCAGAAGTCCATCTGTGAAATAAATTATAGTATCATAATTTTTCTCATGGCTATCAAGAGAGTATAGCAGTTTCTTAGTTTACTACACTGTCAAGCATCTACATATCTGCTTGATGCATTAAAAGTAATCACTGAATTTTTCAATTTATAAAAGGAAAATAGATATCTATGCCAATGTTAATACATGAAAGCAGCAACTGAGCTGACATTATAAAAGGAGTTAGAGATTAGTTTTGGGATGGTAGATTTGTTGCAGAAGATATATGAAAACTATCACCATTGAAAGGGCTAGTGACAAAGCTCTGAGCTTTGCCTTGGATTTCCACAGTTTCTATGGGGAAGAAAGTCTGCCTAAGAACAGAATGTTAGTTGAGGCATTGTGTCGAATGAAAAAAATGAATGGATGGTCGGCCACAAAATTTTCCTCTTGCATAAGGCAGCAGTCGATGAACATTTCTGTGGCAGCTGCTGCTTCTGTACCCTCCTCATTTACTTCCACAAAAGACTTGTGGACAATTTGTGACATAAAAAGATTTCCAGTACTTGACATGCCAGACAGATCAGCTCGGCTAGTATAGAGATCCTCTATACCCAGGCTGGCCAGGTGAGAGTTGAGGTTGTAGTTCTCTTCCAGCTTGAACTTGGGCAGGTAGACATTGACTTCCATGGAACTCAGATTCTCAGGTTTGGTCCACTCATGCAGTTTTTCTAAGGTCAACTGTTCTTCGATCTGAAATGAGAATCGGCAAAAGAAGAAGTGAGAACTACTTATATAAGCAAGGTAATAAACAGTATTTAAATGAATGAACTCGTTATCAGTTGCTAATTAGTTTCTTTCATGTGTTGTGCCAAAATACAATAGATTCCATTTGAAGGATTTCATTTCTTTTCAGCAATTGGTGATAATAGAACAGAGCTGTGTTCCAAACAATCAAGGGCCCAAGTAACAGGGACTTTGGAAATCAGAAGCTTCAATTACTCATCCATCCACCCACCTACCCATCCATCCACCCAGGCTTTCCTAAACCCCTACCACACTGAATTACTGTGATAGGCCATGATGGCTGTTATTCCTTTAACTGGTTGATTGGTGCAAGGTAAAATTCTAAAGTTTTCTTCTATTTCTTCTATTCTGAACCCTATTGATCACTATGGTTATCTGTGAACTCACTGTGCTGAAGTAATCTCTAATAGATTTAGCTTGTGGGTAAAAAAAGAAAACGGACTAGCTCCTCATTGAAAATTGGGAGAAGATGCCGAAACCCGTTTGGCTCAGTGGAAAGAGCGTCGGTCTGCGGACTGAAAGGTCCAAGGTTCGATTCCGGTCAAGGGCATGTACCTGGGTGTGGGCACATCCCCAGTAGGGGGTGTGCAAGAGGCAGCTGGTCGATGTTTCTCTCTCATCGACGTTTCTACCTCTCTATCTCTCTCCCTTCCTCTCTGTAAAAAATCAATAAAATATATTTAAAAAAATAAATAAATAAATAAAATAAAATTGGGAGGAGAGCCCTAGCAGGTTTGGCTCAGCAGATAGAGTGTCCGACTGTGGACTGAAAGGTCTGAGGTTCAATTTTTGCCAAGGGCACATGTCTAGGCTGAGGCTCATTCCCCAGTGGGTGGTGTGCGGAAGGCAGCCAATAATTATTCTCTCTCACCATGGATGTTTTTGTCTCTATTCCTCTCCCTTCCTCTCTAAAATCATTAGAAATATATTTTAAAAATAAATAAATAAATAAATAAATAAATAAATAAATAAATAAAATTTGGAGAGGGTTAATAATATTACCTATCTTATAGCATTTCTGTGAACATTAAATGATTTAATGTGGCACAGTAAGTGCCACAAAAATGTTAATCATTATCATTAGCATATTACTATTACTATTGGACTAGAATGGACCCATCATTCCACTTGATCTACTGATGCTGATTATGTCTTTTATGAGGCTGAAGAATTTCTCTTTATAATCAGAGAAGAGACAAATATGAAAATACAATTAAAAGAAAGAACATACTGATTTTAATACAGACTTTATACATGCAAATAATTAACATTGGACCTCTTCCTGATAACAGTTTGGTTAGAGAGATGGTAGAGGAAAACGACACAGCAGCGTAGAGACACTAAAGAAAAACCATAATCTTCACTGTTTTGCCTAGTCCTAGGCTGACAAGAAATGTCTTTGTTTTTAACTGAAATAAGATAGAAACATCATACAGAGTTCACATGAGAAAATAAGCTTAGCTTTCTTATGAGTCTTCTCTACCATGTAACTCTTAGAAATTTAATTCACAATCTATATGAATTGTGATGAGATGAGCAGTGTAACAATAGGATCTCATAGTACATTTTGAAGCTGCCTACTATATAAATGTTTTGGAATTTGTAATTTTAATAAATTTGTCTCAATAAAACAATTCTAATCTACTGCACTTTCTTCTAAAGTTCATTTAAGAAAATTCCTGTGAGCTGCCACTGACATGTGTAGCGGTGTTTCTTTTCAGCATCTAGTACAGAAAAGGAAGGAGAGCAGTTGCTGAGTGGAGGAACTGGGAATTAAGAAATTAAAGAAAGAAAGAGAGCAAGATGCAGAAATAGAAGCAAGCTGGGAGCTAGATGGGACACCATTCTCTCTGATAGAGAGGCAGCGAATACCCTGAACCAGGCAGCATGTTTATTTTATATGATCAAAGGAGCTTATTTGCATTCTTAAGTAGGCCCTAGAATTACTGGATTTACATATCTAGACCCTTTCCTGCCTACACCTGGACAAAGGTAAGAAGTCAGAACTGAATAACACCCCCTTCCCCGCCTTTTTCCGGGGGGTTGGGGGAAGGGCGAGGGGAAGAGTGTAGCCATGACAAGGTTCTGCCAGTTGCCTAGGGCTCAGCTGACAATTTAAAGCATGTCCATGTGCCTTCCCAGGCGGCCCGCTACAGACATGTTAAATTTAACATAGATTCTTAGATGTCATCCACCAGAACTGTTCACTGACAGTCACTGAAAAGTTAATCTTAGGCTTCAGAGTAGCAAACATGGATGGGCTACTACCACACAACATACACACAGGCAGAACCCATGTGTCAGACGGAAACATGAAGCATGAGTGTGGGAGCCGTTACCTTCTTCAGACCCGTGGCCTCGTCCTCGATGTCATCTGGCAGCAGGATGACCATGCTGAGCTCCCTGCCCTGGTAAGGCAGCTCCAGCACCCGGCACTTAAGGTCCTCAATGTAGCCAAATGGGAATTCACTCATCTGATACATCATTTTCACTGTTTTTGTGTCTTTCTGAACAGTTAAAAAAACCAAGTCACTCATATTATTATCTGCATTTCTTTAGAGCAAAAAGCAATTTTGTAGTTACATCATCTCACCTTATTCAATCTGAAAGGTCTATCTGTTGTGTCCATTTCACTGAATTTCTCCTTCCAGTTTCCTTTGAAATAGATGGCATTAACTAGCACAAGTTTAGTCATATTATCAACCATGCCTACAGCCAACAACTCTGGAATTTTCCCTAAAGAAATAAAGTAAATTTGAAAAAAAAAAAAAGATCTTCACATATCAGTATTTTACTTTTGAATTGCATTGAAAGGCAATTCAAATTCATACTTTTTATTTAATTCCATTAATGTATTAAGTTAGGGAAGCCCTTCCAGTGTGTTTCAACTCTATAGAAAACCACTAAAGGGCCGAGACAGGTTTTGCTCAATGGATAGAGCGTCAGATTGGGGACTGAAGGGTCCCAGGTTCGATTCTGGTCAAGGGCATGTACCTTGGTTGCAGGCATATCCCCAGTAAAGGGTGTGCAAGAGGCAGCTGATCAATGACTCTCTCTCATCTATGTTTCTAACTCTCTATCTCTCTCCCTTCCTCTCTGTACAAAATCAATAAAATATATTAAAAGAAAGAAAGAAAGAAAGAGAGAAAGAAAGAAAGAGAGAAAGAAAGAAAGAAAGAGAGAAAGAAAGAAAGAAAGAAAACAACTAAAGGGTTTAAAAGCTAAAAACAGGACAATCTTCTCTGCATTCTATGAAAAACAATAAGCCTTCATGATGAATGGCCATTCTTTGGCAGCATAAAAATATTTCTTAATGAAAATGAATTTTAAATAAGTCATTTCTTCAAAGCTTCCAAGTGGAAGCTGCTCCCACAGAAGTATTTAGCAGTATTTATCCGAAGGCGAGGACAGTCAGTCCTCTGAAACACCAGTTCCCCTGTGACCGCAGCGCGGCCATGAGGAACGCTTTGGCTGGGAGACACGTGTTGGGTAGGTGCCTTGTCTCAGACCTTGATGAGGTTAGAGAGAGTTGCGGTGAAGAAACAACTGAGATGTAGCCATCCCTTACAGCTTGACAAGACATTTGCCAAAATATTTATGGCCACAGAACTTTGTGTCACAAGTATGAGAATACTAGAGGCCTAGTGCACAAAATTCGTGCAAGGGGCTTGGCCACCACCAGCAGAGCTGCCTCCACCCTGGCCACCATAGCTTAATTGTTAAGGTTGTCCAGTCTAATTAGCATATTATGCTTTTATTATTATAGACTAGAGGCCCAGTGCACAAAATTGGTGCACTCAGGGTGTGAGGGTCCCCTCAGCCCCGTCTGTGCCCTCTCTCAATCCGGGATCCCTGGGGTAAATCCGGCTCCCGGCTTAGGGACCCCCAACTTTCCATGGAGAGTGGGCATAAGCTGTAGGTCTGACATTCCTAGCGCTGTCATGGAGGCAGGAGAGGCTCCCACCACTGCTGCTGTGCTCACCAGGCATGAGACCTGCTTCTGGCTGAGTGGCACTCCACATGTGGGGGCACACTGACCACCAAGGGGCAGCTTTTGCTTTGACAGGCATCAGGCCAAAACCAGCTCTCTGACATCCACAAGGAGTACCGGAATTGTGAGAGAGCCTAGGCTAGGTCAATGGATCCCATGAGTGCAAGATCAAGGCCAGAGTGGGATGTGGGAGGTGGCCAGCAAGAGAGGGACCTTGAAAGGGTGCAGAGGGTGTCCAGCCAGTGTTGCTCAGTCCCAATCTGCCAGACTCCAGCAGCAAGCTAACCTACCAGACCTAGTGTCTGCCTCCTAGTGGTCAGTGCACATCATAGCGAGTGATTTAGTCGCATTAACATACATTTGCATATTACACTTCAATTGCTACACCAGGAGACTGGATGACCGGACACTTAGCATATTAAGATTTTTTCTATAGGATTTCCCCCCCCCCATAATCTGGGCCAGGATGCATTTTCCTCAAAGCTTTATCCTTTTTATCCTACATTTAATGTTAAGTTTTAATTTTAAAATGTGGTTTGGTGCATTTATGGGGGAAATATTTAGCTACTTCAATGAAAGCATGTTGAAGTTCCCATGTTGAGGAATTCCCACATTTAAAAGCTGTCTGGCACTGGGAAATGGCAGAGGTTAGCCCCAGTGAGAGGATGAGAGCAGAGGAAAAGGGTAGGGAATCATCTGCAGGCTGGGACAGTGGGAGGAGGAAAAGAAAGGCCAGTGTGTAATGAATGACTACATTTGGCCCACTCTCTTACCTTCAGTCTGCCCTTTGACCCACTCATTTATCACCTTCCTTGCATCTTCAGAAGCTCGCTGAAAATCTACACTGGCCAGTTCAGCTCCATACATTTTCTCGGTTGAAGCTAAGAACTCCTGTTTAAAATATAAAATGTTTAAAAAAAAAAAAAAAAAAGAAAAAAAATCAATAAATACAACAACCCACAAATAGCTTCTACTATATACAGAAATGGTTTTCTAAAATCCTTAAAAGCAATAGAAATTGTCTTAAAAGACAAAAATTTCATTGTAACAAAAGAATTCTAACCCTTATACTTATTGCATTATGGTAAAAAACACATAACTTTAAATTTACCACCTTAATCATTTTAAGTGTACAGTTCAGTAGTTTTGGTATTGCATAAAATTTACCAATTCTTTTCTAAACTTTGGTAAATTTATGGAAAATTAACCTTTCCATAAATAAGTATACACTGATTGTTCTTGGAAGTGAATTATGGAATTCACTATTGCTTTACTAAAACAGCCAGGATCAATCTTTTCCTGTGAAGACTATCAAATGAAATTGAATCTCTAATGGGGATACTGCCATATGTTTAAATTCTGTATTGCTTTCTGAATGTTTATAAAAATAAAAACTGATGTCTGTGACTTGATTGTGCTGGAAAATATCTGCACAAAGCTATTTGTAGGTTTTTTCATAGTGATGTTCTTTTTTTTTGTTTCGTGAGTTTTAGAAAAGTGAAAGCAGAGAAACCAAGATGGTGACCTAGGTAAGCACCTAAGCTGCCACCTCGCACAACAATTTCAAAACAACAACTAAAAGACAGAACAGACATCATCCAAAACCACTGGAAAGCTGGCAGACTGGGAATTCTACAACTAGAAAGAAGGAAAGAGGCTCACGGATCAAATTGGGAACCGCAAATTGCTGAGGTAGGGAGGTGCTCAGGCACAGAGTGGTAGAGTAGTCAAATGCCTGGCTGGCGGGAGGGGAAAGCAAGTCCCTGACTGCACTGAACCTTTTTAGACTGCACTGAATCCCAACCCCGGCCAAAACCCCGTGAACTCAGGCTCACATGGGTGGAGTCTGGACTATAGAGAAAGGCACCCAGAGACTCAGAGACTGTGAAACTGGAAGAGCCAGGAGCCACAGTGGGCAGGGTCTACATTCACGGGCAAGTGAGTGCACTCAGAGGGATCTGACCTCAGAGGTTGCCACAGCCTCTCCAGAGCAGAAGGAGTCTGAGCTTCAGACTACAGAGACCCAACCAATTCCGGGCAAGCCCCCTGGCACCCATGGTCTTGCACAGGAAATCTGGATGGTCAGGTGGAAACTCAGGAGAGCCACGGAAGGCAGAGGTCTGAGGCTTGTGCACAAGGGTAGGCTGATGGGAAACCAAGACTGTCAGCTCATCCCTGAGACTCTGCCCCATCCAAACTGAGCACAAAGGCTTTTGCAATTTTGCAAGTCTGATCCTATTAGACTGTCTCCAATACAGAAGGTATTCCAGAGTAGACACAGCTGATACTCACATCCAATGGGTCTGGAAGTCAATTCCTCCCAGTGATACCAACAACAATCAAGACTTAACTACAAGGCTGTACACGCAGTCCACAAAGGGGAGCACCAAGAGTGTCTACCTCCCATAATTGGGGAGGCTGACCCACTGGGCCATATAAGACAACAAACACACAAAGCTATCCTATGAACTCTGGGAAGCAGCAAAAATACTGAGTCAAGAAAATAGATCTCAAACAAAAGAGATGGAGAAGAACAAAAGACTGGACATAGAGTTCAAAACCACGGTTATAAAGTTTTTCAAGAATTTCCTAGAAAAGGCCTATAAATTTAATGAGACCCAACTAGAAATTAAACATACACTGACTGAAATAAAAAATACTATGCAGAGATACAACAGCAGACAGGAGGAACACAAGAATTAAGTCAAAGATTTGAAATACAAAGATCCAAAAGGGCACTCCTCTGGAGAAGCAGGAAGAAAATAGAAAGTAGAAGACAGTGTAAGGAGCCTCTGGGACAACTTCAAGCATACCGACATCAGAATTATGGGGGTGCCAGAAGAAGAGAGAGTACAAGATACCTATTTGAAAAAATAATGAAAACCTGAAAACCTATTTGAAGAAATAATGTCAGAAAACTTTCCCCACCTGGTGAAAGAAATAGACTTATAAGAAAAAAATAGACTTATAAGAAGCACACAAAACCCCAAACAAGAGGAATCCAAAGAGGACCACACCAAGACACATCATAACTAAAATGCCAAGGGCAAAAGACAAACAGAATCTTATAAGCAGCAAGAGAAAAGCAGTTGGTTACCTATAAGGGAGCACCCATATGACTATCGACTGATTTCTCAACAGAAACTATGCAGGTCAGAAGGGAGAATATTCGCAAGAAATATTCAAAGTGATGAATAGCAAAAACCTGCAACCAAGATTACTGTGTCCAGCAAAGTTATCATTTAGAATTGAAAGGTAGATAAAGAGCTTCACAGATTAAAAAAAAAAAAAGCTAAAGGTGTTCATCACCTCCAAACTAGTATTATAGAAAAAGCTGAAAAGTATTCTTGAAGATGAAGAAGAAGAAGAAGAAGAAGAAGAAGAAGAAGAAGAAGAAGAAGAAGAAGAAGAAGAAAGAGGAGGAGGAGGAGGAGGAGGAGGAAGAAGATAAAAATTATGATCTACAAATGCATATGTATGAACAAGTGAATCTAAAAATCAAGTGAATTAAAAATCTGAGGAACAGAATAAACTGGTGAATAGAATAGAATCAGGGGCAAAGAAATGGAGTGGATTGATCATTATCAGGGGTAAAGAGGTGAGGGGGTGCAGGAAGAGACTGGATTAAAATTGTACACCTATGGATGAGGACAGGGGTGGGGGGAGGGAGGTAAGGGCAGAGGGTGGGGCAGGAACCAGGTGGAAGGGAGCTATAGGGGGGAAAAGGAGAAACAATTGTAATAATCTGAGCAATAAAGATTTATTTAAAAAAAAGAAAAGAAAAAGAAAGTGAAAGCAAAGTACTCACAGGGCGGAACTCATAGGTTTTCTCTCCATATAACCTATTGGCAAGTTTCAGAAGATAGGGAGCTCCGCGCTTGTTGATGTCAGCATTCAGACTCTGGAAACTGGAATGAATCTCCTCCACGGCATCAAAGTGAAGAGTCTAAAACAGAGAAAATATTCTTTCTGCAGCCATTTACTTTGAAATAGATTCCTTGACATTTGATTCTATCAAATTAAATTAATGCTTATATTACTAATATCAATAATATCAGCCCAATATTTTATTAAAATTTCATTGGAGAACAAAAGAACAGAGAATTAGAGAATCAAAAATTTATAGCTTTGTGAGACATAATTACATTATAAGCTCTTTTTATATCACTTATTTTTATAATAATAGTCCCATGAATGTAAGTGGTTAATAGGCTAAATATTTACCTATGTCTGCTTTTTCTCCAAAGAAAATCACAACTGGTATATTCATATATAAATTCTGTATCAAAGAGAGTTTTACTGAAAGTTCTCAGAAATAAACAGTAAAATTAAGAATCATCCCCTATGTGGGAGCACAAAGATATTACAGAATTGAGGGGATTTTTAAACTACACTATCAGCATCAGTAACTTAAAAATAACATCTATAGCCAAAACCAGTTTGGCTCAGTGGAGAGAGTGTTGGCCTGCATAATGAAAGGTCTCAGGTTCTATTCTGGTCAAGGGCATGTACCTGGGTTGCAGGCAGATCCCCAGTAGAGGGAGTGCAAGAGGCAGTGGATCAATGATTCTCTCTCATCAATGTATCTAACTTTCTATCCCTCTCTCTTCCTCTCTGTGAAAAATCAATAAAATTTATATATTTTTAAAAATCTATAAACTTAACATTCAGCAAAAGTTTAATTTTCATGATAGAAATCATAAATCTTTTTATGGTTTTGAGTCCTGGGCTGGCTATTATTTTACACACAAAGAATAAACCTACACAATGTACAGAGCCCAGTTACTCACCAAGATGGGGAATGTTTGCACAGTTGCTGTGATAGATCTGCTTTGATGGAAAAGCAGGGGAACCTTTAAAACTATTTTCTGCAGAGGTAGTACAGTCCCTGCATAAACCTCAAAAGAGAAGCTGACATTACCTGGCAAGAAGCAACTAACCATTATCATCTGGGGATAAAATAAAAAGTGGGTTTTGGAAAATATAAAAATGCTTTCATGTCTGCAATGACCATTGGTTTTTTCATAAAATGGAGAAATAAAAGATTAGGAACAGATGGATACACTTGAATCCAAGGCTGGACCTGCCCCAGTTACTGGCACCTTGTAATCTTCCCTACTTCAAGGAGCTAGAGTTCCCCTCTCAGAATTCACCAAAGACCACACAGCATAGTGTGCGCCCCACACCCAGGAAGGCAGGTGGAAGGCCAGGCAGTACTGCTTCTTCTCGCTGTGACAGGGACCTGCCTCCCACCCAGGGCCTGGCCCAGTCCCTGCAGCAGCCATACCTCCCTTCTTTCCTCTCCTTCACTCCCTCCCACCCACACCGGCCCTTGTGCCAGGCACGGGCTAGGCCTCAGCAGTATAGAACCCCACGGTGGCCTGTTCCCTCAAAAAGGCAACACCGCCAACTTCTCCCCTTGGTGCATTCCCTGTGCTATTTCGTGCTAAAATGTAACATTAATAGCACGCGTTTATTAATGAGGAGCGGGCTGCATGCAAAGCAGGAACTGAAAAGTCTGAATGGAGAGGAGCTGCCTTCAAAGATGTGCCCACAGCACCAGAAGCAGCACAGCACAGGCTTTGGCAGCTTTCTTCACCGCTGTGTCCTCAGCCAAACAAACACAGTGCCTGGCACACAGTATGTGCTCAGTAAGAGCTCAATCATGAGTGAAAGCCTGCATGTAAGTGAACTGATCTTGGGGCTTTTCTGGAAGTCTGGCCTGGTCGTGTGTAGCTGTGGAACTCACAAGCACAGAGTTTAAAACTCCCTGTAGTAGCTCAAAGGCACGCCTTCTTAGCAGGGACTGGCAGGGAAGCCAGGCTGCTTGTGTTGGTTTCTGCTGACCTTGGACATCTGTGCAGAGGTAGTGCCTCTGGTCCCCAGAAAGACCATGGCCAGCGCTGAGGAAATGCTCATGGGGGAGAAGAAGATGTTCCCAGAGGGGTCGCTGTCCTTCAGGGTGCGGAAGAGGTCCAGTGCGAACCGGGTGTTGGCCAAGCTCAGCTGCTCCATGGTGAGGCTGCAACACAGGACAGAGGCCTAGCACCCCAGCTGATTAGGCAATGACAGGTCTTCATGTCATCCTTGCCCTAAAACTCCCGGAACTGGAAATCTGTACTTCCTTTTCTTTTCTCAGGAGGCCAAGAGCACTGTCTCATGAGCTCACAGATGGGAACCAGACAAGGATCCATCAGAGACCAGGCACAGGACCCAGGGTCCTAGAGGCTTTGACTAGCAGACTCAGCAAGGAGCACACACATATCCCACCCTTTACCTACTTCAAGGAGCTGGAGTTCCCCTCTCAGAATTCACCAAAGACCACACAGCACAGTGTGCGCCCCACACCCAGGAAGGCAGGTGGAAGGCCAGGCAGTACTGCTTCTTCTCGCTGTGACAGGGACCTGCCTCCCACCCAGGGCCTGGCCCAGTCCCTGCAGCAGCCATACCTCCCTTCTTTCCTCTCCTTCACTCCCTCCCACCCACACAGGCCCTTGTGCCAGGCAAGCACTGCCCTTATATAGCCCCTGAAGTGGGTGTAGCCTGGGAGTGGCACAGGATATGAAGATGGCCACAGAGCAATCATTGCCCTTATGTAGTTCCTGAGGTGAGTGGAGCCTGGAGGAGCTTTGGAGCTGACAATACCCAAAGGGCCAGCTTTCCCTGAAGTGAGTCAGCTCTGGGCCTGTAGGAAGAGGACAAGGGAACCTGGGGGAAGCAGGGGGGAGGTGGGGGGGGGGAGAGTGCTGGGAAGGAGCAGGGTGGGGCAGCAGGGCGGACATAGCAGGAGCCTGGGCAGTGCCAGTAGAAGCCTAGATGAGGGTGGACTATTCAGGAAATGAGCACCTTTTTGAGTCTAGGGAACTCAGATCTCTGGCAAGGACCTGATGGCCTAGTGCTTGCCTAAGGGTGAATCAGTGAGAGGACATAATGTATCACCTCTTAGAGGGAAAACTAGCCCCTCTGAATCTCATCTGTATACTCCAAAATGGTTTTGTTTTTCTGTGCTTTTGTTTTTGTTTTGTGAGATGGGGAGGGACCTCCAGTATAAGATAAAACAGTCCTGTCAGCTTTTGGTCATTGGTGCCAGTTCAATGCCACCAAGAATCCCCAATTTAAGGTGCAGTGAAGAAGAAAACTTTATTCAGTGCAAACAGTTCAATTGTGATGCAGCCCAGTTACTAGTATGAAGCAGCAGGTGGCAAGGTGCCCTCTCTGACAACAAGCTCTGCTCTGGTCTGGTCTGCTCCATCTGTTCCATTCCATCTCCCTCTTCCTGTTTCTCCAGGAAAACAATTTTGAGTGGAAATAGAAGGTGTGCTCCCAGAGCCAGAAAGAAGCTGGCTTAAATGGAGAGAAGTTCCCACCCCTGGTGTCTGATTGGTTCATCCTCATGCAAGACAGGACTCCAAGTCCTCAAAGTGATTGCACCAATCTGCCCTGTTTGTTAAGAATGGAGCTGCTCTGATTGGTTAGAGAAAATGCTGATAAGGATATGAGTGCACATATCCAAATGAATGGGAAAGCTTCAGGCTTAAATATTGAGTATATTCTAGGAACCTCTTTCTAAGGACTGGCTCAGATGCAGGAGCACAGTGCAGGTAGGCAGTGCAGTGCAGTCTTCTTCTTGAAGTGCCCTCCTGCTGAGTCCCCTTCTCCCATTAAAATGTCTCCAAGGGTCTGTCTTATACATTTGAGACCATTTACCCATCAGGAGTCCTTCTTGGTAGATATCTTCTTTCTCAGGGTCCCCAGTTCCAACCAACAACCTTGGTGTCACTATCTTTAGGAACCAACATGAATGTAGCCCCAGTATTCTCCTCACAGTGATGGCTACACCACTATTTCTGTGAGTCGTTTGTTTGTTTCCCACTTTAAATGTCTGATATTTGTTATTGCCTGCTGCCATACAGCTGAGGGCATTTCCCCAAACCTGAAAATTCACTTGTTATTACCTGATGCTGGCCAAACTGCTGAACAGCAAAAAGCAGTTCCCCCAACCTAATAATCTTACTGTTTACCAATGTTTCTCTCAGTCTTTGACTCTATCTATAAAAAAAAATAAAAAAAAAAATGTAAAAATACCCTTAAGTTAGGATTAATAAAACAAAACAAAAACATCTTGGTTTCACAAACAGATTTTATTTGGAAAGCCTATTCTGTCAGTGGTGAGAATTTATGAGACAGAGGAAATGACCAGGCTGGACTTGGAGAGATCACTCAAGAAGCGGTTAAAATGGTAGTGGAGAAGATATGGTGAGACTCTAAAACAGGCAATAGCAGGATAACTCAGAAGAGGGACGAAATTAAGAATCTTGAGAGGGAACCGACATCCAGAGAGGAGACCATGGAGGACCCAGGAGGGCTGATCTTCTGCCTCTGCATCATGATGGAAAGTTGGAAGACAATGGGCAGATGCAGGTTAGGGTGAAGCGAATGGACATATTGCGATTGACACAAGGGAGAAATCTTTCAGAAATAATAAAATGCAACATGATTATGAAGCATATTGAAATTCAAAATTATAAAACTGTATTTATAAGCCATTTATAAGGAGAGTTATAATTCACAGTCTTCCTTCCTGTAATTTTCCTTTTATTTTATTTTCTTCAGTGTGTTAATACTACTTAATTAAAGGAAATGCCACTTTTGTTCTCCAAGGGGTTTGTCAGCTCATCTAAGAATGCTATGTGCCATGTTTGTTAACTTTCTTGAGAAGAGACTGGAACCTTGGTAAACAGCCCACCTGTACTTACACAAAGTGCCTTTTAACAGAGAACAATATCCCCAACTTTGAACATTGCATTCTAATACCTCCAAACAAATGCCTGACTGAACATTATGGCTTGGAAAAAAGATGGCTGCAAATGGGAAGGCAGACTACAAGGTGTGTGAATGAGAGAAGGAAAGGAGACTGTGTGGACATGTGGTGAATGTATATTTGTGGGTGAGGAACACCTATACTTCAAGGGACTGCTGGGGACTGGTGGCCTGGGCTCCCTTGACAGGGCAGCCTCTACTGCTACTGAAATCTCTTCTGGAGTGCCCAGCTTTACTGCGGAGACTGCATCATCTTTAAGGGGAGAGTGGCTGTTATCAGAAGCCTGTATATCCTAGGACTCTCCATCCACACCAACCAGGGAACAGCTGCATACCCAGAAACACCAGATCTTAAGCAGCATGAATACGCGGACTTGGATGAGCTCTGCACCTTCTCACGGAAAGGTCAGATTTTGTCTAGGCCCTAGGGAAAGGTGAGGTCTGCAATCCAGGCTAGGGAGAGAAATGCATGGGATCTAGAAGTTCAGGGAAAGTCTGTGCCCCACAAAGTCTGTGGCCTTTGAGGCTAGTATGATCCACAAATTTGGAAGGGTGTCCACAAGGCTGCTGGCAGAAGGGAACTCTAAAAACCAACCCATAGCTGGACTGAACACAAAAAGGCAGCCTGAAATTTTACTAGTGTGCCAGCTGCTTAGTGCCAGGGGAAAAAAGATGTGCACAGAGAGGTTCAAAGAGTTGTTTGTAGTATTGGAGGAACCAGCTCTGGGGCAGTCCATTCTCCTAAACAAGTATTAAGTGCCATAAGGAAAAAAAAAAAACAAAAAAACAAAAAACACACCTAAATACTGGCTAAAGAGGACTTATAGCCCCAGAGGTCAAGCCAGAAACGCTGGCATTCAGGGGTTGAATCACAAATTGACTCTTGTGTAAACACAAGTAAAGGAGTCTAAAAAACAAAGAAATAACTGCCTGCTTAAAAATCAGGACTGTGGCTTACAATACAGGGGAGCAGTGGAACTCAGGGAACGTAAATACTGTCCTGACTACCTGAGAGGAAACAGGCATGCCAAACAGAACAATAGAGGAAGTGAATGACCTTTATAACTGCACATTTTTATTTTTTCATCTTTTACTTTTTTCCTCACTTGATTTTACCTTTTCAATTATTATATTTTTATTTTAATCAGTATTATTACTACTACTATTTTACCTTTTTTAAAGTGTAATTTTATTTTCTATTTATTTTATTTTGGAATTAGTGTTCTACATTCTATTTTCATTTTTCCTTTAGCATCATTTTACTCTATCTAATCTTTATCTTTATGCCAACACTCTCTTCCTCACTTTTCCTCTTTTGTTATCCTGTTTCTCTTACCGAATTCCTGCTTTAGATTTTTCCTATTACTTCATTTTACCTCCTATTAAAAATTTATCATACTTATATATCTAATTTCCAATTCCCTGCTCTAAGTTTATATACACCTCTCTCTTTTCTTTCTTCACTATCCATTTTTTTTTCTCTCTTTTCTTTGTTTTTTGTTGTGTTGTGGTTATTGGGTTTTGTTTTGTTTTGTTCTAGGTTTTTTTGTCTTATTTTGTTTTGTTTTGCCTTGTTTCCTTTCTGTCCTATTGTTTTTTGCTTGATTGTTGATTAGATTGTTTTTTGTGTATGTGCTTATTTGTGAGATTGTTTCTCTCTCTTTTTTCTTCTTCTGTTTTACCTCTCCTCATTTGTTATTAGTTGATGTTTGTAATTTGCATTCATCTCTGGATGTTTGTTGTTTGCATTTTTTGGGACTAGTGGTTGCTCTGTTGGAGTTTTCTACCCATATAAATAGTTTTACCCCCTTCTTTTATTTTTCTCTTCATTTTTTTCTCTTACTTTTCTCAAAATCATTGTTTCACTCCCCCCCTCCTTTTTTTTTTTTTTTTTTTTCTCTTAATCTCCTAATTCTCTTTTCTCTGGTGATCACCTTTATTTGAGTTATTAGTATTATGGATACATTTGTGCTCAGTGCCTTGTTCATTGTGCTTTCTTGTGTTTTACTTTGTGCCTTTAAATCAACGCAGGAGACAGTGCTAAATATCCAGTGACCTGGAGAAGAGAGATCATGGGGAGACAAAGAAACAGCCTTCGTATGAAAGAAAAGGAGGCATCACCAGAAAAGGAAGTAAATGAAATGGAGGCAAGAAACATGTCAGAGAAGAATTCAGAGAAATGGTCATAAGATTTCTGAAAAGAATGGAAGACAAATTCAAAAACCAAGAGAAAATGAAGAACCAAGAAGAAATGACAAATGATATTGCTGCTATAAAGAACTCAATAGAAAGCATCAATAGTAGACTAGAAGAAGCAGAAGACTACATCAAGGAAAAAAATACCAAAGTAGAGCAGCATCTAGAAAAAAAAGAAAAAAAAGAAAAAAAAGAAGAAAAAAAAAAAAAAGGAGGAGAGCCTAAGGGAATTTTGAG